CACTGGTCATCTCTCCGGCCGTCTCTCCGGCCGTCTCATTGGCCGTCTCTCTGCCCGTTTCTCTGGTCGTCTCTCTGGCCGTCTCTCTGGTCATCTCTCCGGCCGTCTCATTGGCCATCTCACTGGTCATCTCTCCGGCCGTCTCTCCGGCCGTCTCTCCGGTCGTCTCTCCGGCCGTCTCTCCGGTCGTCTCTCCGGTCGTCTCTCTGGCTGTCTCTCTGGCTGTCTCTCTGGCTGTCTCACTGACTGTCTCAGGGAGAGTAACACAGACTGAGAGGCAGCGGGCATTGCTGCTGACTCTCTGAGGGCACCCTGTTTGTGATACATATTCTGACCTCATTATTTCTCCATTCTGAAATGTTTGTTTGTTTATTTGTTTGTTTATTTTTGTTTGTTTGTTTTGTGCCTGGGCCAATAATGGAGGACCAAAAATAGGTGCGTTAAAAATGTATATATTCCTGCAAGAAAGCTGTATAAACGTTGCCCCATTTTGGGAAGGGGCCCAGTTGTCCTGGTCTGAGGTGCTTTGCTCAGACACCAGGCCTTAATTTCAGAGGGAATGCAAAGACCCACCCCCCCCAACAATGACACAGATCCTCCAAACGGCCCAGTGTTCAGTTCTGGCAGTATGCTCTGTCCTGGAGTTATTCAAATGAGAACCTTTCCATGTTTCTGATAGCGATAAACGATCCATGATCATACATCACATAATAAATACAACATGTACATACAGTTACTTAAAAATCAGCTGTATCAAAATTCAATGATTGCAGCATTTTAGGACTAAATATTTTGCCATCATTGATAAAGATACCCCAGTCAGGGTTGAATAGCTCACCAGTAACAACAGCAATAAAAACAAAAACATCCATTACAGCAATAATAATAATACAGACGGTATTTCATTGACTTCTGGTCATAATGTTTTTACTGAATATTTTTGCCTTTTGCAGGAAATAATCTATCTCTGATCGTAAGTTCTAACAAATAAGCCCTGAAGTGGAAAAATATCTCCAAAATCATAATTAAATCAAACATTCCTCTTTACTGTCCAGGCTATAGAGTACTGAATCTTACTGCTCCCTGATTTATACTGAAAACACTCCCAGTTACACAGCAACACACATTAAATGATCCCAAAAAAAGCCGCGATAATTTTCATAATCAGTAAATATGACTGTACTCTTAAATAGAGTTTTGAGGTAAATTTAATTGTGCATAACAAATTCATTGAACAGTTATGATTGTCTAAATACTGAATGCCGTTTTTGGTTCAGCTGTGTTGCGAAAAGGATGAGAAATGTTAGCTGTCCAAGGATGATAGGACCACTGGTTGTGTTACTGAGCTGCCACTATACTACAGAGGGTATAAATCACAGTGTGTCCTGACCACAGCAACACGACACCCTGGCAAATATTTAGCCTTGTGTACAAAGTCTGCATTTAGTTAACAGCAGAATGCATGGTATTATTTTGTTTTGTGTGTGTGCCCATTAAGAATTTCTTGATTTGTCACTGGAGTGAATGTAGATGGAGTCACACAGTAGCGGCATTGTCTTGGTGTCTATCACAGTTGTGCAGCGATTCAGCAGTGCTTTTCAGAGTACCGAATCTTACTGCTCCCTGATTTTTTTATTGTATGATGCTTTAGACAAAAGCTAAAAAAATAAACGTTAAGGAAATGCAAAACTCAGCAAAGACAGAAACAAAAAGAATTGCGTCATTTATTTGACTGCTATGAGTTTTGTCTTTAAAATGCATGCTTTTCATATGCAATATACTTATATATTAGTGTTTACAGAAAAAATATATGTTAATATATGTTATATGAATAAATGTTACTAAAATGGTGAAAAAATGCACAACACAATGCCTAAAATCAAATACAACAAACATACATATCGACCAGGGAAAAAAAAACCTTTGCTAGTTTAGTCCAGAAAATCTGATCAGTTTACACTGCAAAATAGTATTTCATGAAGCCCCAGTAACAATCTTAGGAAAATCATTTTACTTCAGAGAAAAATTATTACATAATTATAGTGAAATGAACTTTGAAAATGAAAATGTACACTGGGAAGATGCTAAGGTAGGGTAGAGAAACTAAGAAAATTCAATTCAAAATTCAGTGAACAAAACAGTGTCATTTTGTTCTGGTTATTATAGGAAATTCATCATGGCTGATAAGTTTGTGAGTATCTAATTAAAGGCTTATTAACGGGGCTGCGTTTACACAGTGAGGACGCAGTGCCATTTCAATTTATAGCTGTTATTGCTGTTTCTTCAGTTTCTAACATGGAATAATTTCGTGAAATAAGCTAATATATTATTTTGTTGTATTCATAAATTATTCTTATGACACAACATCCACTTTAATTCCAGCATTTTCACTAAACGCATTGATTTTGCTGTCGGCCTGGAGGTCCAGTCCGCAAAATGACATGTGCAGTTAAAGGAGAGCTGGTGTAACTTTATAGGAAGTAGTTCTCTCTCCATTCACCGGCCACCACCTTTTTGGCTAAACGTATAAAACTAAGGAACAAAAGCTGATTTTTTTTACGCTGACATGTCAGTCACACAAAGCTACACAAAAGGCCAAGCAAACAACAATTACAGAAATAATTGTCTACATCTTAGTATTTTGAGTAGAATTTCAGGCAATTTTTTAATGACTATAATTTAAGTATGTTCATTTTTGTGCCCTGGCGTTTCATTTTAGGACTTTTGGTTTAGATGCTACATTGTTTGCAATTAATTTTTGATTGCTTAAATCTAACCTGAAATCTTAAGCTCCTGTAAAGCTGTATGTTTGCAAGGCAAGGGTTGTGGGTTCAAATCCCGGGTGAGCACACATTGCCTCTGTTCTTCAGTCACTTTGTATAAAAACATCAGATATAAACAAATCATGCTTTTGTTGTTTTAGGTCCCCGGTGCTGGGCGTTGTCTTCATGGGGGTTAGACAGCAGACCAGCCAGAAAGCTCCCTTCAGATTGTGAGAAGCCAGACAGTGACCCTGCTCACATGGAGGAACAGAATGACGGCTGACTCACCATCAACACGAGGACTACCATCATTTGCGAATATGTAAAACCATCAAATATCTAATATTTAAATTAAAAAAACCAATGCCTATGTAAAATGGTGCATGACAGCTTGTGTTATGTAAATGATTGTGACTGAACACTGCTATTGTAATTATAACTGTACAATAAAACACATCTTTACAGTACAGTTCCTTGACTTTTCGTAAGTCACATTTGATTGGCTGACAAACATAGCCGTGTGCATGTGTCATGAAACGTCCTGTACCTACAAAGAAAATTTCAGAATGTCAGCTATGTAATTTTATCAGCAACATACATATTTAAACAGCTTGTATATCATAACTTACAATTTCTGTGTTTTATTCTGCAATAAAGATGTATGACAATCAAACAAGTGACTCCCATCATTTTTCAGCCACTGTACTACAATATTTCATAGGGATAAATGAACTCATCATGTAAACAAAATTTGGTAACACTTTACTTGAGGGGGCACAAGTAACTTAAAAACTCATTTACTACTCAAGTGTAAATCATGAAGAAATATAGCAACTGAAAATACATGAAATACATGAATTGTTATGACTGATTAATGACAAATAAAAATGGAATCAGCAAGTAGCATAACAGTGTCCCACTACATTGGGCCTCCCCCTCAATAAAGTCTGTACACCATACCTTCCCTGGCCATTTAGAAACCATTCAGCGTGCTGCACTGGATCACTGCCAAGGCTCGGAGAGGGGGTACTGATACCCAGAGGGGGTTGCTAGAAATTTTGGGCCCCATGAAGGCATATAATATTGGGCCCCCCAGTCCAGACCAATTCAGTTATTTTCCAAATTTTCTAGGCCTCCACTCAAGCAGGGGCCCTTGGAATCGTCCTGACTTTCCCCCGTTCTACGGCCCCCCTGCCGATACCTCAATGCCACCGCAGCTGTCATCTCTGGCTCCTTATAGTCAGTGTTAGAAGTAGGCAGGGGGGCAGTTTCAGCTGTTTTTCATTTCACAGAAAAACAAAAGACATTTGAGCTCAGTATCATGATCAATGCTTCCTGTTTCGTGCAGCCTAAGTCAGGCTAAGAAGTGAGCTGGCTGTCCCTGAATGTGCTCTATCTATCCTGGTCGGTGGGTTAAAACTGTCACTGGCTGTTAAAAATCCTCCACAAACATTTTATCTTGAGCATTTGAAATTCTTCATCAAGGTATTTTTTTCATTTAATAAACATCCTGGTAAAGAATAGTATTACAATACCCACAGATTACAGGCAAGCGACAAATAAACAATTGGCTATATAGATACTGGGATTTCCACACTCCCCAGTCAGATTTCCAAAATGGGGGAGCAGGAGTTATTACATAATGGCTCTGCGTTCCGGAAAGCATGCGACACAGCAAGCATGCAGCTCCGAGTCAAATGCAGGCCTGAGTGTGGTTCTCCATCTTTGTCTGCCTCATCCTGCCTTTCTTATGGAAAGATCCTTCATACTCTGCACCAACAAGGGACATTTTGTCTTGTGAGTATTAACATTTAATGTGAATATGAAGTAAAACAGCCATGATTATTTTTGCTTTTATATTTAGACACCAATATAATCTTTGTTCGTTCATTCATTCATTTGTTCGTTCGTTCATTCATTTTCCATACCTGCTTGTCCTCTGCAGGATCATGGGGGTTTGGAGCCTTTCCTGGGAGAAATGGGTGCAAAATCTTTGCACCAAATTTAAGTTTTTTTAATTCAGAATGTAAAATTCACAAATATTCTTCAGAATATCATAAATATTTCAGTAAAAACTGAGTACAGTGGTACCTCAGAACTCGAACTTAATCCGTTCAGAACTCAGGTTCAAATCCTAAAAAATTCGAGTTCTGATCGAATTTTCCCCATAAGAAATAATGGAAAACCAATTAATTGGTTCCCGGCCCCAAAAAATTATACCTAAATATGTTTTTTTTAGCATTTAAACACAAAATGAATAGGATAAAACAAGAAGAGCATATAGTAAACACATCTAAGCACATTTATCAAAACAGTAATTTGTAAAGTAAGAAAATAAATGCATCCAAACAATGTGTAAAGTTAAAAACTGTGCGGCAACACTGTACAGTGTGCATAACATTTTTTTCTTAATGGCTTCCAAAACGATAAAGAATGTACTCCAACACTACCCAAAGCCATGCCCCAACACTGCGCCAACACTAGACTATGCTATGCGGTCCATTGTTTATTTTTATTATTACTCTGTATTTGTTAATTTGTTCATAGATTGTATCATTTGGACAACTATTGCGTAGCTTTTTGGTGAGCAATGGCTACCAAAATGATGTAAAGTACAGTGTATTACCTGATATTTTCAATAAAAAAGCACTATCACCAACAAACGATGCTGTCACAGTGAATGTGAGGCGGAGACTGAAGCGTTACCCTTTGTTTCCGCTGAGAGACGTGCCGCATGACTCATTTCCCCGCCAGTACAAGTTATCTTAGGTCGGCATTCACGGTTCAACTTCTGAGATTCAGATCGAGTTCTAGGTCATTTTTTTCGAACTGGTTGGTTCGACTTTTAAGAAATTCGAGTTCTAATGAGTTCGAGTACTGAGGTACCACTGTATTTCTCTGTATAACAGTAAAAAGCCTCATTTTTATCCTGCATCTTATTGGCTTTCTTCTTGTTCCAGTGATTTATATGTGGGTCTTTCGGGTTTAACAGGTATGTGAAGAGGCCATCACCACACTGGAGACTCAGTTCATCTCACAAGGCTTGGCACGTGAATTAGCCACTGTGGAATAGCACAGAAAAGCAAAGAGAACACTGACCCAGTCCTCTTTGGGCCAGGCCCACTCTGCTCATTCATTTGATAATAGCTACACAGGGCAGGTGAGTCGTCCTGTGATTGGCTGGGGCCCATCTGTGACACGGGGCCCCTATAATGTACATCCTCTCGACTTCAGACCAGTTTAACATGTCCCATCCAGAATGAGTCTAATCATAAACTCAGAACTGAGAACTTATGATGTGTGGATTTTTTTGAACAACAAGCCTGCCAACATCATTAGAAAAAGAGAGAAACTAGTGTATAGTGCTGAATGGCTGACAAGTTTATTCCTGCAGCTACGACATGGAATCCAGTTATGTAAAATTGCAGCTTAAAACATCACCAATTAATGACGTAAAAATATCATAAGATCAGACTCAAGGCTTTCAGATTGTCCGCCAGCAGTAAATAATGAGAGTCTGCCGTAGATTTCGAATCCCGGGAGCTGAGTGCCACACCAAGGAGAGGGGCCCATCAAGTTCAGGCAAACGGTGCTGCGACTCTGTGGCGCCATCTGGTGGCACATCCTCATGCCTGTTTGACTGCTACGCTTTGGTCAGGAGCTCCATCACCTCTGCTGCAGGTACTGGCCGGTACACACAGCCCAGCTGATACACACGACGTGTTGTCTGTGAAAACATCAGAAGCTGCAGGCCAGCACTCAGAACAGACTCAGCGGCATCAGCTGGTCAAATCGCCATTGCAATAAAACTCCTCTCTTGCTCTTCCGTACTGCAGTTCCACCACTGATGCCTGCAGCATATGGGATGACGGTAGACAATGTAACGTGAACTTACGTGAATGTAAGACATGTAGCAAGAAAAGCTCGAATAATGTTATCTTTTCATGGGAGGCGGATTTAAAAGCCTGCATCAGCCTAGCAGGCCAATGATAGGTGTCCATTTAGCTCAAACACCTTTTAATATCTCCACAGTGTGCGGCGTAATGTTCAGTGACTAAATGAGTATCCTTAACAGATCTTTACCTTGATTTCACCATTTTCTTTTTACCAAGTAATAGAGATGTACTTCCTTCCACTGCAGCAATCTTGCCTATCATTTTTATCAGCGCATCAGACAACCTTACAGAGAACTACTCAATTAAGCCGGCTAAATCAACCCAACAGGACAAAGACCAGCTCAAATCCAAATTTAACGTCAACTATGATTTGTTTGGCACCAGATTTCCTTTTTCTGATTTGACTCTGTCTTTGGTAGCATAATTTAATATTGCTCAAGTAATAGAACTGAATTCCAAGTTTATTGTCAACAACGTTATGTTCTTCTTTGAACCTGCACAGATAAACACGAAGCAGCACAAAGGCGTACACTTCTGAATAAGAAGGGAGACCTGAACATCGTGTGTCCCAGAGAAGAGACTCTAGCTTAGGGCGGAGCATAGAACTCTGGAGGAACTGGAGAGTGTTCCCGCCCAGCCGTGGAACGGGGAACCAACTCTTCTGCATGAATGTGGGGCAGCTACTGTTAACAATTTGGTCCCTGGCAAACTGGCAGAATTCCAGTTCTGAGATCAGTTATAATCAAGCAACTTGCCGCAGTAAAGGGGTCATTTTTGACGCGTATAGGTATCTGGTGTTCATTTTCTCACCCACCTCAAAAGGCTATCGCTTTAAAATGCGTACGTGTTTAAAGTCTTTAAAGCAGTCACGTCATTAGTTCTCTTCCTTCTAATACACATGCGGAGGAGAGAACCAATATCGGGAAATCAACTTAAAATAAATTCCATGAGTGAACATACAAATAATTGAAAATTCAATATAACGCTAATAACAAAAATAAAAATTTTTAACAGTTTCACAGAATTTGGCTCTTTACAGTCCTTGTATGAATGTAAGTAAGAGTTTTGCCCACATTCATGGCACAAAGGCGAGGTGTGTTGGTCTCTGACTGCAGTGCATCTTGTCACTACTACTGCTTGTTATATTTACGGAGAGGTTATAACGGTGCAGCTTCAGCTGGAAGGCTGTTCCGTTTGGCAGAGCAGAGGTGCCATCCCTATCTGTAGATGACGTTGCATGCTCTGTTGTTCCTTTGGCCTCATCCCCAGACCACACTTCAATCAGCACCTACAAATCCAAGGTCATGTTTCTCTCTTGCCAAGGATTGTTCCGTTCAGGTGACGGAGGAGGGGGGAATCTCCCCCTGGTGAAAGAGTTTAAGAATCTCGAGATCTTGCTCACAATGAGACAGTAAGAGATTCACTGCTGAAATGGATGGCTGCAGTGCTGCAGGTACTGAGAAAGGCTCCCGACAAGGCTTGTGGTTTGCCGGTCAATCAATGTTCACCTTTACTCATGAGCTGTGAGTAATGACCAGAAGAGTGAGATCACAAGTAAAAAAAAAATGGCAGAAATCAGGTTTCTTCACAGTGTTGATGGGCCCATTCTGACAAGGTGAGGAGCTCCTGAGGGACTTTCAGATTGAGAGCAGTCAGCTGATGTGGCTCCTTGTTCCACCTGGCTGGTTCCCAAGGGAGCCGGTCCCACAGGGCACTGGGGAAGACTAAGGACACACTGGAAGGATTGCATCTCCCAGCTGCTTTGGGAATGTCTGGG